AGGGTATGCCATGGCAATGCAGACTAAGAAGGGAATTTTCAAAATTCCCTCTCGGGGGGAGGGAGAGGATTTAGTCTTCATTGAGTACTTAGGTGTATTAAATTAATAACATTTCAGACATTGTTATAAATATTTTTATCTATTTCGGTTTTAAAAATGTTCGAACCGTTTTAAATTCAAATTTGTTATTGCATATTGGTTCGATTATAGAACAATTGTAAATGTTCTAGAAAATTGATCAAATTGAAAATAGTTCGTTTGATTCTCAGCAATTCTCATCATTCTCAGCAGTAGGTGTTATATAACAATTATTATGGTTATTGAAATACTGAATATAAATAGGGTTTGCTTGCAAAATCCTCGTGGGCGAAGTCGCAGCAAACAGCTAGTACATATATAATTGAGTGCAATTAAAACATTTGATCCTGTATATAAATTAAATTATTAAAATCATTGTGCAATTTAAAATGTTTGCTTTTATTTTAATGGAACAGAAGGTATCTGTAAATGTTTCAGAGTTAATTTGTTCAAGTTTTCCTTTTTGAATAAAGAAATTAATTTATTTTAATTTTTCAGATAATCAATTGTGTTATTTCATTGGAAGAGAGAGTGAATTATGTTTAGTAGTTAGAAGAAAGTTTATCTAATTACAATAATGAGACATCATACAGGAATTCAATTATAAAATGAATGAAAAAGTTTTAAATTATCATTAACGGAACATGATTAACCATAGACTGGAAGATTGACTTAATAAGAATAAGGAATTTATAGAACAAACTTTTTCTAGAAGTTTACAAAATCAATAAAACAGATTTCTTTGAAACTAGAAATTTCTAAAGCAGCATTATGTGAATTTTTGAAAGTAACCTAAATGCACAATGTGTTTGATAAACTGCAAAATTATATCATGCTTTGTTGTATCTAATTATTATGGTATGAAATATCTAAATCAGGGATGGGGAACCTGTGTCCTGCATTAATATTTTTTGCAGCCCATGCCATATAAAATATGTATAAATATATCAATTTCCTAGCTTAGGCAAGTATGTAGCAAAAATTCAAACATTATTTTCTACAACACATATATGTGAATAGTTTTTCTCACAATGAATTTAGTAAAAATTAAAACAAGAAACTGGCTAACAGATTCACATTGAAACCAATTTAAAACTAGCAGTGACTAATATTTAATCAAATATTTTCAATATATTACGTTTACATCAGTTCCAGAAGCTAAATTAAGTATACCTATTCTAATTTATAATTATATATGAATAAATAATTGTGATTTACCGACATTTTTTCCCTCTTTTATCTTGTATGCGGCCTGCATCAGTTCAAAACTTTTGAAATGTGGCCCTTACATAGAAAAAGGGAGCTCATCCCTGATCTAAATCAATCTCAGCAGAATGATTCAAAATCAATTTATCAACACCTTTTTGGCTGCTGGGATTTGCTTTTATTTGGCAAACATTTTGAACATAGTCTAATAGGCCATCCTCAGGCTACATTTTTCATGAAACATTTTTACCATTAAATAGAATACAATAAAATAGAATACAATAAAAGAATAACAACGTTTAAACATTTGAATATAAAGCAAAAATAACTAAAAAAATTAATATAAATAATGAATAATAGTAAAATGTAAATAAATAATTCAAAAATATACAAAAAATATATAGTATAAATGAACTAATTATGATGTTCTAACAATCTTATTTTGTACAATGTATTTCCATGTTGTTGCCAAGCTGTCTGCATCTCTTGCATTAATGAACTTATCTTTGAACCAACCTATTTTTGTATATTTCAAGTTTTTCAGTGTTCTGGGCTAATATAGGAAAGTGTAGACTTAATGTTGTTTGCCTCTTCCTATTTTATAATTTATTATGGATATGTTTAAACTTAACTATCCTGAGATTAAACATATTAAAACTTTAATGCATTTCTGATGCAATCTATGAAACAGATTACTTTTTTCTCCTACAGATTATTAAAATTTTAAACTACACAAGATCTTTGTATATGATTTAATTGAAATGTGAAAAATTAAACAACCAACTGCATGTATATGAATATTTTATTTATGTTGGTTTAAAAAATAGTTTTTATTGTACGTACTCATAAAATGAATCAAAATTTTACTTATATTATTTTCCCTCTGTTATATATATGGGGATTAGTAAAAAAAAATGACTCCCAAGATTTTCACATTTTAGATTTGGACCTTGAAACATTGAGAAATGCAAAAAAAATTGGGGGTTTGTGTGTGAAATGATTTTGTTCATCTACTTTAAAATTTAATAACTTCTGTACCTTTTGTTGAAAATTTCTGAAATTTTTCAGGGAGGATTGTATCGTTAAAGGTTAAGGAGATGGAGAGATAGAAGGGTCATGTCACACTTCAAACGGAGTCAGACTTAATGAAGATTTTACTCATTATCTGTATTTACAATTTTTCATAAAACTCATCTCTCTCTACACTAAAAATTTAAGCTTTTTACCCTTTTATAATAGTTATATAAAAAGTTTTTTTTAATAAAATTTTTTGCCCTTTTATATCTATATCTATACTAATATTATAAAGAGGTAATAATATAACTCTTTCTAACCTGTTACCGGTGCGTCTACTAACTCTTAACGATCCAAAAAACAACCAAAACTAACGTTTTCGAACCCCTATAACGGTTCTTCTTCAGGCTTTTTCGAATCTCTGATGGAAAATGCAGATCGTACAAACTTTAAATTCGAAATACGTAAGTTCGAATGCCCATTTCCCGTTTCCGTCGTTGTATGTCATGCGCAGTCGACTCCAAAACGGGCAATCATAAATTACCATTCATAAACGCTAGCCACGCTGTTGATAACGTAATTTCTTCTTTATAATTGATGCATTGATTATCCTTAAGGTTAGCTAAGTATATGCTGGCCGCCTCTAGCCATCTGATATGTTGTACGTGCCGTGTGGTGCGGATAATTCTTGCTTTCTTAAATTCGGGGTCTATATCTGGATCGGAGGCATATACCGCCAGGGCCATCGTGTTCCTTTGTTTCTGAAAGTTTGTTTTAAAGTTTGTACGAGCTGCATTTTCCATCAGAGATTCGAAAAAGCCTGAAGAAGAACAGTTATAGGGGTTCAAAAACGTTAGTTTTGGTCGTTTTTTGGATCGTTAAGAGTTAGTAGACGCACCGGTAACATGTTAGAAAGAGTTATATTACTATTCTCCGGTGTTGTGGTAAAGATGAGTAGTCAATAAAGAGGTAATGTTTTTAAGTTTGTATGTAGCGGGTAATCTCCGAAACTACTCATCCGATTTCAAAAATTCTTTCACCAATATTTAGAATGGAACTTCAGGGTGGACATAGGCTGTATATTATTCCATTAAATAATTCATATAAATTAAAAGATATCATCTAGGGTTAAGGCTTTTATGACCAACAGATGGTGCTACGAGTACGACAACCTAAGTTTGCTTTTCTGTGAGGATGAACTAAAACAGATCATCTTCTATCTATCTATATAAATAAAAATGTAATGTTTGTTTGTTCCTACCAATTCCTTCCAAATTTTGACACAACGCTGCATTCGAATACGCATGTGTTTTTATATAATATACATGTCGAAATTTCCCCCACGGGGGAGATGGACAGGATTAAGGCTTACTGTAAAGAACTCTGCTTCTATTTATACTATTTTAGATGTGGTTTTTTTGTGTTTTTGATTGTGTTTTAATAGGGTACTGTACATCAAGAGAATGTACACTAAGAAGGAATTTTTCGAAAAATTCCCCCCCACAGGGGAAGTGTTATACATTTATAATAGATATATTTTTAGCCACAACAACATGTGGCAGGGTCTGCTAGTTAATTTATTAAAAGCATTTTGTTTAATAAAATCTCATAACAGATGGCTTCACACACAATTTTAATTCTTTTGCCAGGAAAGTTATGCAACTCATTGCTGAATTATGTTTTATTTGTTTAAAGTATGTTAATACTTTTATATTATGTATTATTCTTATAGATTAAAAAGTTATAGTTTTTCCTGTATATAAATAATGATGATAATATTGCAATCTTTTGATTTCTCATAATTAACATTGTATGCATCCTTCAAAAAAATATAAATCAGCTTGAACAACACCTTAAATACTTTTTTCCAGCAACACTATAATTTATTTAAACAAACATTTTTGACCCTTTTCGTAGGTCTGCATCAGGTTTAATGTATAAACTATAAGATAATTTAAACTAGAAGAAACTGAAAAGTTGTACAGTAGAACCTCGAAAACTCGGCCTAATGTGGACTGAAGGGTGGCCGAGTTTGTGAAAATGCCGGGTTATTGGGAATGGGGTTAAAAAAATAAGTACGAGTGTTTCCTCAGAAAATACTGTACTGTACTTGTATGTATTGTTTACTTGAGAATATAACAGAGAATTAACTGCCCAAATACCCTTAAACAGAGGAAAAGTATGTCCTTTATGAAGGCATAGAGCCTTTACTACATGAAAATGAAAATTAATGAATACACTGTGTACAGTAATTTACCTGATAAGACAGACCTCAGAAAAATACTTTATGAGCGCTTTTATACTTTTATAAAGCTGTCTATAATGAAAATTAATTAACTAAGGATTTTTTTGCCCTGCCAGGGTGTGGCCGAGTTATCCGGAGTGCCGAGTTTTCGAGGTTCTACTGTACTTAATTTTCTTGAAGAATGTTAGGTAGAACTTTCAGTTTCTTTTAATTTATACATTAAATCTGATGCAGAACTGTGAAAAGGATCAAAAATGTTTGTTTAAATAAATTGTAGTGTTGCTGAATAAAGTACTGTATTTAAGATGTTCAAGCTGAATTAGTTTCAGCTTATATAAGAATATTTTTTATGAAATATAAATCATTAAAATAATTATTTTTCTGAATTGAATTTATAAAAGTGGAGATTAATTGTACACAAAAATATTTATTTAAAATATCTTAATTGTAAACAAACCATTTTGGAATTCTTCCATACATTCATCTCCGTTGTATACTTCCATTTCTAAAGGAATCCTTTCAGATGTAATCTTATCTTCCATATCATTTGTATTTTCACTGTTGCTCGAATAATTTGATTCCTTTCTGTTATTGATAGTATCTTCAGTCTTTGAATTTTCCTTCATTAAAAAATATTAGGTTGAATTAAATTGATTTACTTCTAGAAAAAAGTTAGCTTGAAGCAAAGCTCAAATCTATAAGTCATACATGCACATTATAAGTTATGTTCACCAAGTGCCTATCAAATTCTTTTATAAATAGTTCAGTACTTTAGAACTAATACATAATTATAGTGTTATACTAACACATATATAGCGTTATATTATATTAAATCTAAGTTATTTTGTATTTCATTATAATAAACTAGAAATTTCCCAGCCAAGCATGACTGACTATTTTCTTGAGAAAGCATAAATTGAAGAATTGAGAAGAGTACAGATTTCAAGAAAGTCAAGAAGAGTAGCTAATATTTCTTCAAATTAAGTAACCTATATACCCATTGAAGCATAGTTAATGCATAATAATGCATTTTAAATAACAGGCATCTTAGATCATTACTTCCAATTGGATAATAGAATATCATGTGGTCACTATAAAAAATTTTTTTTTAAAATTGTTGTAGAAGCAACACAATGCAACTATCTTTTTTTAAAGTTTAAATTTAACGAAGTAAGTTTAAAATACACTATTTACCCAAAATGTTTAAAAATGCAACTTAAGGGATATTCTGTAGTCAAGCATGAACTAAATGAGATCACTGATGTCACTAACCTAATCACTGATCTGAAATCAATAAAATGTTTATTCTATAGTTAATATTTCTGCAAACTAAGTTGCCTATACTTTTTTCAGAACATAAAATGAATATAACCAATATTTCATCTAAATTGGACAAAAATTGCAGGAATTATAAAGAATTCACACACACAGACAACAAACTTTTATATTATTAACTAAATGCTTAATAAACTCCAATAACTTTGCACATACAAAGTATCATAAATATGTACTGTACAGATGCAATATACACTTCTAATGTAGATAAGTTGTTACTGACTAAATGATGCTATGGGCCTATGGGAATTGTTCTTTCCTCAATCAAAGTAATAAAGCAAAATCTGCATGATTTTAAGGACTAGGATAATTCTTGTTCCTTAAAATAATGCTTAAGTCATTCACATTATGATTAAAGATGTTCTAATTATTGGCATTTTTATTTTACTATAATTTAAAAACTGATTTATGTAATTCATACAAAAAACTGTCCAAAAATAAGCCTTTCCTACCAGTATTCTTTATTTTTCAAATGTTTTCAGTTGTTCATGCAGCTATCATCAGGAACAACAAATAGAATATATGTCAAATACTCAAATTAAGAGTTAAACACATAGAACATGAACAATTCATAAACACATACAGTAACAGAAAAACTGATTAATTAATAAGTAAAAATACAAAAAAGTTAATGTTAAATGGTGGCCAGAAACAAGGAAGAAAATAGAGAAGTTGAAAACATCTGTAGTCATTTGTATGCCTTTTGCTACCAAATAATTATGGAAGTCATGATGATTGAATCCAATATTTTACTTGTTATCTCAATCAAGGATGAATTATTGGAGCTTTAATTTAGAACTGACTCAAAAGGATGAATTATTTTTTTAAAGAGATTTGCAAAGATTGAAAATACAGAAAGATAATATTTAGGAGGAAAAGTAAAAAAAAAGAAAAAAAAGGAGGAATGTATATTGATTAAAGAATAATTCAGTGTTAATACATAAGGCAAAATGTGGTCTATTATGCAAACTAACAGTGTTAATAACCCAGGGGCACGGACTTCCAGGAGGTAGATTGGTAACCAATTTATCATTGAAGGATGTTTAGAGATTTAATTCTGAGCAGATTTTATGGGCAGAATTGCATTGCAAGGAAACAGATTGTCTTTTTGAGAGGAGCACACCATGCTGGAATGAAGGTACTTTATGGCTTTGGCTTTGCACCTACAAGCAAAACATCTTTGAGGATTTTAGATTGTGGTGTTAGAACACCATATCAGAGGATTAAGTGAGCAACAATCATTTAGCAGAAAAGGGCACATTTCTATAGTTTATAATAGTAAAAATATAATTACAGAACAGAATAAAATAATAAAAATACTTCAAGTACATATCATTTTATTCTATTTTGTAATTATATTTTTATTAATTACAGTCAACCACCCTATAACACTGTCGATTATTCTGTTATATATGAATTCCATGCTGTACGAGTCACTTAGATTTTACAAATACATAAGCCGTTCACAGCCCAACACACGTATTTGTAAAATCTAAGTGACTCGTACAACATGGAATTCATATAAAACAGAATAATCAACAGTGTTATAGGGAGGGTCAACTGTAATTAATTAATTTTTCCAACTTACTGTATGCCTGTTATGAATTATTTGTATTCTATTCATCCTGATGATCCTGACCATCAGTATCTTGATAACTGCACAAACAGCTGAAAGGATTTGAAACATAAAGAATACCATATTACCAGGAAAGGCTTATGTTTGGACAGTTATTTTTCTGATTTTAAATTAGCTTAGAATTATTTATTTCAAACAATCTTTAATAATAGTTGTAAGCAATAAAAAACTACTACTACTTTAATATTTTAAAATAATAATTTAAATAATTAAAATCAGTAAAACAGCAATTTTTCTTGTAATGGGTATCTAGAAAAAACTCTCCACAAAATATCTCAGGTTCTAGCTAACAACTAATAAGTTTTAATTATGCTACACATGCTATATATGCTACATGGAATATAGAACATTCTAGAATCTTTTTCTGCATTTGATTTTCTGCTTCTTTCAAAATGGGAACAAAAGATGCTTTATGCCTAAGAGTACAATTCTTATATATTAAATAAAACATTAGGAAATAAATTTACTGAAAATCATTTTGCAGTAAATTTATTTTAATTTGAAGGAATTTCAAAATGGACTATATATGGAATTTTCCAATATTTCAAGAGTGGATTACTACCAGAAACAGGTTTGTATGAATTACATAAATCAGTTTTTAAATTATAGTAAAATAAAAATGCCAATAATTAGAACATCTTTAATCATAATGTGAATGACTTATAAGCATTATTTTGAGGAACAAGAATTATCCTAGTCCTTAAAATCATGCAGATTTTGCTTCAATAAACACTAACAAAGACAAAGTTGGAAGGATTGAAGAGGACTTTTAAACCAAGTGACAAGGTTTCAATTCAATCTGAAGAACTGAAACTGAAAATTTATATAATTGACTACATGAAGCTTTGAAAACAAAAACACATTAAATATCAAAAGAAGCACATATACAAAACTTCCAATTATCCATGCAAAATGATAAAGTATCATGAACAACAATCAGCTTTCATTTCTTCCTCAACTGTCAATTCTAAGGGATTAAAGTGAGGTGAATCATTAAATGTGGAATAGTATCTTTCAGTAGACAAAGTTGGTGCTATAAACAGCAGATTTGAATAAAATATCCTACTAATCCTAAAATTAAACTACAGTAATTTAAAAAAATTTAAGATTTAAATTTCTATATGATTTTTTGAAAATATAAGAAACCTACATTTTATATTTACTGACTAAATCTACATTTCAGCTTATGAAACTTGGAACTCACACTTGCATTGCATTTTAATGGATTGAACTGTGTACACATTGTAGTTCATTTAAACCTCTGAATAGTTTTTATGGTTTAGAAGGCTATTTTGGATTATCTGTTGTTCTAGTTTTCCATGCATGCCCATGCACTAATTAGCATGGATAATTGGGAGTTTGGTGTAATTCCATATAGAATGGACATGAAAAGATTACTAGCAAAAACAAAGTAAAAAGATTACTGTAACATTCTCTTCATTTTCTCTTCAAAAGTTCATTTTTGATGGCAAATCTTATTTCACCCTCTCACACTGAATGTTCAATGATAATGGTGGATTTTATACCAGTGATATATCCTCTAAAGTTTTCCAATAAAAAAATTTTGAGGGCAGAATTTAGGTTTGGATTGCAATGGGACTGAAAGGAAACCATAATTAGAAAATATGAATGTCTAGTGATATTTAAATGAATACATATAATATCACCTGGTTCCATACATTCAAAAAAACTTAAAAATAAAAACCATTCAACTATCCAGCATAATTCTTTAATAACATAAAAAACTTTAGCAACTTTGAGGAATTTGAAAAAAAGAATCAATGAACATAAGCTTTTGGTGAACAAAACTGTTGACAGTACGATTCTTGCCACTTATGCTAAACAACAAGGCATTACTGTCTTCTGGGATCAGGTCTCTATAATAAAAGCTACAGATCTAGACACGCGGTAAAATATCTCGAAAAGCTGGAAATCCACAGGGCACAGAAGAGCATGCAATGTATCAACTATAGAGATGCCGAGGGGCTTTCGTCTGCTTGGAAATCTTTTTGCGACGAATTAGCATAGATCTATATAAAAGGCATAATCAGACTTAGGATGATCTTTGATAGATATTTATTTATTTATTTTTATTATTATTTATTAAATACATAGAAATTTGTATACATCATTTTCATTATAGCATGTTACATTTTAATTTTTTAGATACCGTTTATTTGAAATTCAATTGCATAATTTTTTGAATTCCTGTTTCGAATTAGAGAAATAACTGATGATGAATGCTTAATGCATTTGAAAACGTTTTTATGTTATTAAAGAATTATGCTGGATAGTTGAATGGTTTTTATTTTTAAGTTTTCTTGAATTCTCCAGTAAGCAAGTATACAATTCAAAAAAACTATTCTCAAGCAGAATATGTCTTCTGGTCAAATAAAAATTTCTACTACATCAAAACCATACTGCAATATCTGTGACAAAAAATAACACCTTTGTCATAAAGGAAAACAACTCTCCTGCAAATGTGTCAGAAATTACACCAATTGAGGATTTTGGGAAATTCTAAAGACAATCCTTTGTGAAAAGGCGTGGAAGGCAAAAGACACAGATCAGCTTATCGATCACATAAAATACTATCTGAAAAATGCAAAACAAACTTGTACAAAAATTTGCATTGTACACCTAAAGTTG